CAAAGCCAGAGTGAAACATCCCTGATCCGAATCCTGTTGTTTAGGATAAACAGATCGCATCGTTCAGAAGGTCCAGCTCTGCTATAGGGTCAGTCAGCATAAACAAACTGGTGTTTGTCTTTGGACCATTGGCAGTCCTTAAAGGACGACTCACCCCCTAAACAATTATGACATCATCATAATTCTAACAATGCACTGCACATTTGCAGTCCTACATCTAAAACTGTCTGTTTGGTGCCATCCTCTGGTTTAAACAGGGATACTACGCCTGATTTGTTTTAGTGTTTGCTTCCCTGTTATTGTGATGTAACCCTGAGAAGCTGCAGTCAGCAGTAGTGGGCGGGGTTATAAAAATGCCTACGAGACGAATGGAGAGGGTTGAGTTTTAATGTTTCCTCTCATCTACATATAAAACTGACACCAACTGACCACTTAGTCAATTCAGAAATAGTTGATATCATTATTACACCATGCTGATACAGGCTGTAGGTTAACACCACATCATGTCTCCAACAAACAACACATTCAAACCAAATAACGCCTAAAATATTAGAGATGGCTCTGAAAAGCGATTGTCTTATACGGCTAGTGAAGTTGGAGAAATGAAAAGCTGCTTCTGAGTAAAACAGGATGAACAACTGTGATGCAGGGAAAGTAAGTATGAGGAGGTGAGAAAAGGGCGAGAGGGAGAAAACAGAGAGTGCCGGAGGGAGAGGAAGAGTGATGAAAGGATTATGAAGTTTGACAGAAGAATGAACATGGCTGCACTGCAGCGGCTGTCCATGCAAAGACCCCAGGCGTCCGTCAGACTGCTGCACATCTGCACAGAGTTGCAGTGCTGAACACCTGGAAGCAGGTCGGTTCAGGAGGGCAGAGGTTAGGCTGAACAGCCATTTTCTCTTACTGGTGGCGAGTCTGACATAGTGGAGACATTTATTTTTGGAATGTAAGCTTGTATGAGAGATGCAACTTTTAAACAGAGCGTGCATGAGGAGAAATGGGCTTGTGTTTAGGAGCGGGTACAGGGTTCTGCATGACAAAAATCCTCCACTATACCTTTAAGGACAGCTATATATATATATATATATATGCCCCGCCCCCTTCCGCAGACACTCTGCTGCACCTCTCCAAAACTGTAGGTGACCGCAGACAGTGCTGCAAACAGGAGCCATCTGATTGGTCAGATCTACATCCGCTCTACATTATACGTATTTCCTGTTTGGTTCCTTACCAGCTTGTTCTGTTTGTCTGACCGCCATTGTGGAAAACGACTGGTGAAGATGGAGCAGCTAGCAGAGCGAGGTAAGAACGCTGGGACCCTTTTCCTACCTAGTTCCCCGCTCTTTTTGGCCCTCATGTCCCTCCGTTGTCGCACAAACTTGCCCCCACTTCCTCACCGCCTCGGCCGTATGTAGACCCACAGCTAGTTCCTGATTGGCCCTCGGGCGTTGTGGCATGGAATAACAGCGCAGACCATGCTTCAATATTGGGCAGAAATCAAAAATATCTACGACACGCTGCTCTGGGAGGATAGCCAGACCTTTAGGCTGTACGCTAGCCGAAAGGAAGGAGGCTGAGGACTAGTGAGAGCAACAGCCACTATCCAGGATGAAATATCCAAGATCTATATGTACATCAAGGACAAGGTTCCAACAGACGACGTCCTCACTGAATGTCTCAGTCAATGGGGAACAGAAGCTGCCAGAGATTTCCTAATGGGAGGATAAGCTCCTATACGGGATTTAGCGTCGGAAAATAATCGAAGTGGCAGATATCAAGAAATCCTACCAATGGCTAGACAAAGCCGGACTGAAGGACGGCATAGAGGCACTCATCATGGCTGCAGGTGCAGACTGTCAAAGAGGCCCCTGAGACAATCCAGCACATAACTGCAGTGTGTAACATGCTGGCAGGGAAAGCTTACATGGAGTGCTAGAACCAAGCATCTGGAATAGTTTACAGGAACATCTGTGCAGAGTATGGACTGGAAACCCCAAGGTCAAAGTGGGAAACACCTCCAAAGACCGTAGAGAATGACCAAGTCAAGATCCTGTGGGACTTCCAGATACAGACGGACTGAATGGTGATGCAAACCAACCGGACATTGTGGTGTTGGACAAAATGCAGAGGAAAGCCGTGGTGGTTGACATACCAATACCAAATGACTGCAACATCAGGCTAAAGGAACATGAGAAACTAGAGAAATACCAGGGGCTCAGAGAAGAGCTGGAGAAAACCTGGAAGGTCAAAGCATCGGTGGTACCCGTGGTCATTGGGGCCCTCGGGGCAGTGGCCCCCAGACTGGAGGAGTGGTTACAGTAGATCACTGGAAATACATCAGACATCTCGGTCAGGAAGAGGAACAGCTAAGATACTGGCAGAACCCTCAATATCCCAGGCCTCTGGTAGAAACCCGAGCTTGGAGGAAAAACGGTGGTAGACCACCCGCATTGGTCGAGGAACAGTTTTTTTTTTTTTTCTCTCTCTCATCCATCCATTTTCTTCCTCTTCATCCAGGGTCGGGTGGTGGAGGCAGCAGTCTAAACAGAGATGCCCAGACTTCCTTATCCACACCCACCTCCTCCAGCTGCTCCCTCCAGGACTTCCACCAGGCCTCCTCCAAATGGGACATGCCTGGAACACCACCAGGATGCATATGGAGCGGATGCCTGAGCCTCCTCAGCTGCCTCCTTTCTATGTGGAGGAGCAACGACTCTACTCTGAGCTCCTCCCGGGTAACTGAGCTCCTCACCCGATCTGGAAGGGTTCGCCCAACCGCCCTGCGAAGGAAACTAATTTCTGCTGCTTGTATTCGTGATCTTGTCCTTTCGGTTATTACCCAGATCTCATGAGGGTGGAACGTAGATCCATCGGTTAAACGAGAGCTTTGCCCCCCGACTCAGCTCCCCCTTCAACACGAAAGTTCGATACAGCGACCGCATCACTTCCAACGCCGCACAGATCCGTCTATCAACCTCACGCTCCATCCGACCCTCACTTGTGAATATATATATATATATATATATATATATATATATATACTGTATATGTACATAGAAACATGACTTGTGGAGTTTTCTTCTAAAGCCTCTGAAGTTAAAGTGATCAGTCAGCTGAGTGAAAAGCAGCAGCTGAGGGTTTGCAGAAGAGCAAAGATTTGTGAATAAAGGTCATGAGGAAGCATTAAAATGCTTCTGCTGGAGTTTTGGCTAATCGTCGCTCCACAGCTGTGAGCTGAAGGAGTCAGCAGCTCTGTCAGATCACCGTTGTCACAGCATGTCGTCCCCCACTCTGCAGTGACAGAGCATTACCCACCCAGCCGCTAATCCCGTTCTGCAAAGTTTTTGGTAAGCTGACAGCACAGAAGGAGATAAATAAGGATTTCCTTT